CTGCAGTCCAGTACTCGCCTAAGTTCTCTCACTTAGAGACTTAGCTGCAGTCCAGTGCTCGCCTAAGTTTGAAAAAATCCTACCGAGTGGAGAGCAATCGTCCCACTCGGGGGCTTAGCTGCAGTCCAACACTCGCCTAAGTTCTCTCACTTAGAGACTTAGCTGCAGTCCGGCACTCGCCTAAGTTTGAAAAAATCCTACCGAGTGGAGAGCAAACCTCCCACTCGGAGGCTTAGCTGCAGTCCAATACTCGCCTAAGTATGAAACACATCTCATTCCTCAAGGACGACGAGGGGCAGGTCGACTGCCACCTTCTCTTGGGGAGCTTTGCCACAAATACAATGTGCGCTCCGTCCCACTCTGCGGTAACAGGGTGTGGGTCGACCGCTGCCTTCTCCTGGGGAGCTTCGCCACAAATACAAGACATATGTCAACTGCTTCCCTCTCCTTTGGAGCTGCGCTGCGAATGCAAAAGTTGTCTCGAATGAAGAATGGGTTCACTTAGCAGGAGATTCATAAAGATATTCAACGGTAAACCAAGTTCGGGTAAATTCCAAAGGTTCCAAATCATAGATCGAAGTACTTAGACATGCAGCCCGAAAAAGTTTAACGGTTACAAAAACCACTCGGCATTCCGAGGAAAATTTAAGGTGGGACATAAGAGTTTGTTCACTCCGCGGGAGGAGGGCTGGCAGGCTCGACGAACTCATCCAGGTCGACGTCGTCGGCTATCCGAGTGGCTGCAGCGATGAAAGTCTCCATAAAGGTTCGGAAGTCATGCTTCTGGGTGTTGGCGACCTTGATTGCTGCCAGTTTGTCCTGTCGCACCTCCTTGCAGTGGACACGAACCAAAGACAGAGCCACGTCAGCGCCACACCGAGCAGCAGACTTCTTCCACTCCTGCACTCGGTCGGGGATTTCATTTAGTCGAGTCATCAGGGACTCAATATCATTTTGGAGCTCAGCCTCTGGCCAAAGTGCCGGGTCAATCCACGACATGGCGACCTTCAGTCGAGCCAAGTAGTCCACGGCACTGTCGATGCGAGATTCCAAACGGAGTAGATTCATGGCAGTTTCATCTTTCACGGGAGAGTTGATTGGATCCAAACCAGGCTCGATCCGCCCAGTCTCCTCTTCAAAGTTCTGGCAAAACTCTGCATTCACGATCCAAGGATAAGTCAATTTTCATACACTGAGTCGACTCAAAAAAAAAGTCAGTCAGAACAGAATGTGCACCTTCAAGCTTGATGAACAGCTTCTTGGCAAGACTTCTTAGATAACTCTCCAGATCATCCCTCCTGCGAGCAATGCCTTCCATTTTCTCGCCCTGGACGAGATTCGCCTTCTTCCAGCACGAGCACTCCTTGTTGGAGTCATTCAGAGCGGTCTTCAGCCTGGTATTCTCTTCTTCCAACTGGCCGACTGAAGCCAGCTTCTGTTCGGCCAGAGCGGTCTTGTCGTCAGCCTCCTTACGAGCAGCGGCCAAATCCTGATCCTTCTTCGCCAGAGCTTCTCTCAGTTTTTTTGCAAAGAAATGATGATTGATTCAGAAATAGCGGAAGGGTACTCAAGCCTAAAACTGACCAGTCGACAAACTCGTCTTACCTGCGGCGCCGTCTCTAACCTTTTGCAGCTCTGTCCTGGCCAGCTCCAAGTCAAGGTTCAGTTGAATTTGCTGCTTCTCCAAGTCAGCAAAGCAAGCTCCAAGATCACAAGATTTCTGAAATCAAAGGGGAGAAGTTATTTTTACAGCAAAAAAAACAACAAAGGCAATAAATACTAAGACTACGGTCGACTGCCCGCAGTCCACCATAGTCTCGGGGAATACACCCAGTGGGTGCACTTAGCATGCCTCCACCGGTTCTGATCCCACTCGACCGGTCCGCCGGAGTCGAGTGAGGGAATAATAAAAAAAGAGAGAAAGTAGAACTCAGACCACAATCGACTGCCAGCAGTCGACCGCGGTCTCGGGGACTACACCCAGTGGGTGCACTTGGCGTGCCCCCATCAGTTCTGATCCCACTCGACCAAATCGAGTGGAAGAGATAAACTACCAGTTCGGTTTATACATTTGGCAAAATACAAAGACTATAGTCGACTGCCAGCAGTCCACCGTAGTCTCGGGGACTACAGCCAGTGGGTGCACTCAGCGTGCCCCCACTAGACCAAAAATTCAATCGACACACCCAGTGGGTGTACAGATGCAACGGTTTTCGGAAACAATCTTCAGGCAGCATATCCTAACAGAACAAGCGGCGACCAACTAACCTAAACATTGCTCTGGAGAGCCGAACTGGCATCATAGGCGGCTTGGCTGGCGTCTCGCACCGTCTTCATCTTCTCCATCATAATGCCCGCCTGGTGTATGGCTTCATTAGCAGCATTCACCTCGTCCTCTGGGACATGATGGGTCGCAAAAACTGAAGGCGGGTCGACAGGGGCCTGAGCAGTCAACGAAGAAGGCAGGGTACTCAACAGTGGCTCAGCGAAGGTAACAGAACCCCGATTGACGTCGCCAATGTCCTGAACAACTGGTTCCGCCCTCGGCGTCGTCTGTAGCGCCCCGCTTGCAGGAGCTCGCCTATTTTTCCTCGTCGAAGGCCTCTCGGGCTCTTCATCATCATCAAGGAGGTCAATAACGTTGGGAGCTATGCAAAGTTCAATCGTTAAAGTCACATCACCCAATGGTACGCGTTGCAGTTGAATCGACCAAAATAAAGACAGTATGGCAGGGATCATACCCGGATTAGAAGTGACCACGTCCTTCATCACCTCATCTTCGTCCCTGTAAGCTGAGGTCCCGGAGGTAGCAGCGCTGACAGTTCCAAAGTTCATCCAGTTAAAACAAGAAAAACAAACTGCGCGGAGCGTCAAGTGAATGCAAAGAAAGGCACTCACGCGGAAGCGACGGGGATATCAATCTTGATTTTCGTCAACGCCTTCCGAGTCTTCGGCTCTACAACTCTGGGGTGCTTTGGCGCCTTCTCAGTCGGGGTTGGCGAAGAGATCCGAGGGCGCTTCGAAGACTGACCAGCTGGAGCAGTTGCCTTGTCACGGGCACTCGGCCGTTCTTGGTCAAGCTTGGATCGCCTCTCCCTGCGAGGAGGCGACTCGACTTCTTCTCCACCGCTTGAGCCATCGCTCCCTCCATCCCCTTCACCATCGGAAGTCCACTCGCCGCTTTCGCCGCCACTCGCCTCACCTTCCAGAGCTTGCTCCTGCTCCCCGTTGGGCATTGAATACATTTCAATAATGGCCTGAAAGAAAGCAGGTAGATCAAAGTCAGTCGACGCAATATAGGCAGCTACGTGAGTGAATTCAGATTACAAGCAAAAACTCAAAATCAGACCTGCTCGGGTGCGTGGGACTGGTCGAATGCAGGGACTCTCCTGGCTCCCCTGGGATTGTCCTTATTCCCGGTAATGTCAGACAGCCACTTCTCCAGTGTGTCGTCGTCGACCTCCTCCGGGTGGATCCGAGTGGAGTCTTCAAGACCCGAATACATCCACATCGGATGGTCTCGGGCTTGGAGAGGCTAGATGCGCCGCTGAAGGAAGACTTCCAAGAGATCTATACCAGTAACCCCGTCGCGAATAAGCTGGACCACTCGGTCGACCAGCACCTTCACGTGCGCCTTCTCCTCCGGGAGCACCTTCAAAGGGGAGCGTTTTTCCACTCGGTCCATGGTAAAGGGAGGGAGGCCAGTCGATTGCCCTGGCATCGACTGGTCTTTACAGTAAAACCAGGTCGACTGCCATCCGCGAACTGAGTCGGGAAGAATCATGGCTGGGAAGGAGCTTTTCCCTCTCGTCTGGATGCCAAGACCCCCACACATCTGGATCACTTGGGTCCTCTCGTCACTCGAATTAGCCTTTTTCACTGTCTGGGAGCGACAAGTGAAAATATGCTTGAAGAGACCCCAGTGAGGCCGACAACCCAGGAAGTTCTCACACAAAGAAATGAAAGCGGCAAGATAAACGATTGAGTTGGGGGTAAAATGATGGAGTTGTGCCCCAAAGAAGTTCAGAAACCCTCGGAAGAAGGGGTGAGGGGGCAAGGAAAATCCACGCTCGACGTGGGTGGCAAGAAGGACACGCTCACCCTCCCGAGGCTGCGGCTCAGATTCCTTCCCTAGAAGCCGCGCCGAGTCATAGGGGATCAGCCCCCCTTCGGCCAAGTCGTCGAGGTCTTCTTGGGAGATCCTCGAGTGGATCCAGTCGCCCTGGATCCAGCCCCTCGGCAGGCCGGACCGCGAGGAAGATCCGCCCCGGCTGGTCGCCTTCCCCTTCGACCTCGCTGTCGCCTTCTTTGCCCGCTCCAGAGCCACCGTCTTCTCCTTGCCCATTGTCACCGGCGAGACGCGTACGGTGCGGTGGCGCTGGGGCGAGAGCGAGCGAAGTGGAGGGGCGTGAGGAAGAGAAGAGGAAATGAGATGCACTGTTCGGGAGACTCCGGTCCGGCGCTTTATATCAGGCCGCTTCCGAGTGGCTGACGGGTAGGCCCAGGCGGCTCTATCAAATCCCGTAACGACCGCGCGCGCGATACGTGGCGTAAAAGGTGGCGTGGGGATCGAGGCGGCTCCGCTCTATCCCATCCGATTACTGCGGCCTCCCCCGTCCCGCGCGCTTCCCAAAATTCGGATCCCACGAAATCTGCACGCATCAAACAACTGGTCAGACCAAAGATCTCCTCCGCACCGTCACTCGGAGCCTTACAAGCCAAGAAACTCGCTCGACGAAGAATTAAGAATGGATCAAGGCGACTGAAAAGGAAGTTGCTGTCATCACTCAGGTCCATTGATCCAGAACAAGATATGCTCACGGCATGAAAAACGAGTCGGAGGGGTTCTCAACTCCTTCCCCACTCAAACCTCGATCCATTCGGGGGCTAATGATGAAGCTATGTACCTAGGATAGGGTCATGGGCCTGTCCTAACTGCTCTACCCAAGGACATCTCTAGAAGAAACCACCTTTCAATCGACTTGGAGGTGTTCCACTCGACAGACTCGAAGACACTCGACCAAGAAACAATCACTCGACCAAGATCCAACCACTCGACGGCCAGGAGACCTGAAGTCACTCCGCACGCTAACGGTCGGTCATTAAGTAGCTTTTATGGTCATCATAGCACTTTATTACTAGCGTTACCAGTAATGCTCTGCCTTAATGTACATTGAACCCTTTGTAACATGGGCTGGCCGGGGTCCTGGCGCACTCTATATAAGCCACCCCCCTCCTCCAAGACAAGGGTTCGCACCTCTGTAACCCATATTCATATAATCCAGTCGACCGCCTCCGGGCTCCGAGACGTAGGGCTATTACTTCCTCCGAGAAGGGCCTGAACTCGTAAACCTTGCGTGCTTACAACTTCCCCACAGCTAAGATCTTGCCTCTCCATACTTACCACCCTACACTACTGTCAGACTTAGAACCACCACAGTCATCATCTTGAGCCTTTGATCTCCATCTCCAAAGCACCGTCATGATCACCATCATCACCGGCGCGGCACCTTGATCTCCATCGTAGAATCATTGTCGTCTCGCCAACTATTGCTTCTACGACTATCGCTACCGCTTAGTGATAAAGTAAAGAAATTACATGGCGATTGTATTTCATACAATAAAGCGACAACCATATGGCTCCTGCCAGTTGCCGATAACTCCGTTAAAAAACATGATCATCTCATACAATAAAATATAACATCATGCCTTGACCATATCACATCACAACATGCCCTGCAAAAACAAGTTAGACGTCCTCTACTTTGTTGTTGCAAGTTTTACGTGGCTGCTATGGGCTAACCAAGAACCGTTCTTACCTACACATCAAAACCACAACGATAGTTCGTCATGTTAGTGTTGTTTTAACCTTCAATAAGGACCGGGCGTAGTCACACTCGGTTCAACTAAAGTTGGAGAAACTGACACCCGCCAGCCACCTGTGTGCAAAGCACGTCAGTAGAACCAATCTCGCATAAGCGTACGCGTAATGTCGGTCTGGGCCGCTTCATCCAACAATACCGCCGAACCAAAGTATGACATGCTGCTAAGTAGTATGACTTGTATCGCCCACAACTCACTTGTGTTCTACTCGTGCATATAACATCTACGCATAAACCTGGCTCAGATGCCACTATTGGGAAACGTAGGAATTTCAAAAAAATCCTACACACATGCAAGATCATGGTGATGCATAGAACCGAGAGGGGAGAGTGTTGTCTACGTACCCTCGTAGACCGTAAGCGGAAGCGTTATGACAACGGGGTTGATGTAGTCGTACGTCTTCACGATTGACCGATCCTTAGTACCGAACGTATGGCACCTCCGCGTTCAGCACATGTTCAGCTCGGTGACGTCCCGCGAACTCACGATCCAGTAGAGCTTCCGGGAAGAGCTTCATCAACACGACGGCATGGTGACGGTGTTGATGAAGCTATCGACGCAGGGCTTCGCCTAAGCACCGCTACGATATGACCGAGGTGGATTATGGTGGAGGGGGCACCGCACACGGCTAAAAGATCAATGATCAGTTGTTGTGACTCCAAGGGGTGCCCCCTCCCTGTATATAAAGGAGTGGAGGAGGGGAAGGGGGCGGCCTCCTATGGCGCGCCCCATGAGGAGTCCTACTTCCATCGGGAGTAGGACTCCCCCTTCCAAGTAGGAGTAGGAGTAGGAGACGAAGGGAGAGAAGAAGAGAAGGAAAGGGGGGCGCCGCCCCCTCCTTGTCCAATTCAGACTAGAGGGGGAGGGGGCACGCGGCTGCCCTGGTCGCCCCTCCTCTTCTCCCACTAAGGCCCATTAGGCCCAATATACTCCCCGGGGGGGTTCGGTAACCCCCCGGTACTCCAATATATGTCCGAAATCTCCCGAAACACTTCCAGTGTCCGAACATAGTCGACCAATATATCGATCTTTACGTCTCGACCATTTCGAGACTCCTCGTCATGTCCTTGATTATATCCGGGACTCTGAACTACCTTCGGTACATCAAAACACAAACTCATAATACCGACCGTCACATAACTCTAAGCGTGCGGACCCTACGGGTTCGAAAACTATGTAGACATGACCGAGACACGTCTCTGGTCAATAACCAATAGTGGAACCTCGATGCTCATATTGGTTCCTACATATTCTACGAAGATCTTTATCGGTCAAACCGCATAACAACATACGTTGTTCCCTTTGTCATCGGTATGTTACTTGCCCAAGATTCGATCGTTGGTATCATCATACCTAGTTCAAGCTCGTTACCGGCAAGTCTCTTTATTCGTTCCATAATGCAACATTTCACAACTAACTCATTAGTCACATTGCTTGCAAGGCTTACAGTGATGTGCATTACCGAGAGGGCCCAAAGATACCTCTCCGACAATCGGAGTGACAAATCCTAATCTCGATCTATGCCAACTCAACAAACACCATCGGAGACAACTGTAGAGCAACTGTATAACCCAGTTACGTTGTGACGTTTGATAGCACACTAAGTGTACCTCGTTTGGGAGTTGCATAATCTCATAGTCATAGGAACATGTATAAGTTATGGAGAAAGCAATAGCAACAAACTAAACGATCATAGTGCTAAGCTAACAGATGGGTCAAGTCAATCACATCATTCTCTAATGATGTGATCCCGTTCACCAAATGACAACTCATGTCTATGGCTAGGAAACTTAACCATCTTTGATTAACGAGCTAGTCAAGTAGAGGCATACTAGTGACACTCTGTTTGTCTTTGTATTCACACATGTACTAAGTTTCCAGTTAATACAATTCTAGCATGAATAACAAACATTTATCATGATATAAGGAAATATAAATAACAACTTTATTATTGCCTCTAGGGCATATTTCCTTCAGTCTCCCACTTGCACTAGAGTCAATAATCTAGATTACATTGTAATGATTCTAACACCCATGGAGTCTTGGTGCTGATCATGTTTTGCTCGTGAGAGAGTCTTAGTCAACAGGTCTGCAACATTCAGATCCATATGTATCTTGAAATCTCTATGTCTCCCTCCTTGACTTGATTGAGGATGCAATTGAAGCATCTCTTGATGTGCTTGGTTCTCTTATGAAATCTGGATTCCTTTGCCAAGGCAATTGCACCAATATTGTCACAAAAGATTTTCATTGGACCCGATGCACTAGGTATGACACCTAGATCGGATATGAACTCCTTCATCCAGACTCCTTCATTTGCTGCTTCCGAAGCAACTATGTATTCCGTTTCACACGTAGATCCCGCCACGTCACTTTGCATAGAATTGCACCAACTGACAGCTCCACCATTCAATAAAAATACGTATCCGGTTTGTGACTTAGAGTCATCCAGATCAGTGTCAAAGCTTGCATCGATGTACCCGTTTACGGCGAGCTCTTTGTCACCTCCATAAATGAGAAAGGTCGCTGTCACATGTGCGGGCATCTACCTCTGCCTCCCGCCTTTGGGAGGCGGTGGCGGAGCAGGTGATGACCCGGGCGGTCGACGGTGGGCTGGCGGCCATGGCG